GGATTGACTGAGAAAAGGGGATGATTGAAAAAATGAATGATCATACAAAAGGGATTGGTTGTAAAGCCAAATCAAGTAGAAAAATAGATTGATTCCAAACAGATTGATTGAAACAGAACCTACAATGATTGATAACCACCCAACAGAGTTCTATTGGATGAAGTTCACAACAAAACTTTGGGAGAGATACACAGATATGACCGGCTTCTTTGATTACTCTTTGAAGAAAGGGCCTCAAAGTTGAACTGAAGGCAATAGAAAACTGGCTATAAAGATTGGGCAGCCTAGGCTGAGTTTTTGAGCAGACAAAGCTGTGGTTGAGACTAGCCTTGAACAACTGTACCATGAATAACTACCACTACCAAAAAAAACATAAATTTTTTAAGACAAGAAACCTCTCCTGACTCTTTTTTTTAAAAAAACCTATGACATACATAATAAAATGTTGTAAAAAAAGAAACACAGACCAACAAAGCGGGGAGGGCAGGGTGGCCTTGAGAAATAGATAACACTTTGAAGAAATAAGATAAGATAGATTTCCAAATGAGAAGATGAATAATGGAATATGGTAAATAAAATTGGTAATCTCTGGTCAACAAGAGATGATGTCAATTGCCAAATTGGTAATATCACAAAATCAAAACCCGGACCAACATCAAATACATTTTTATTACACATCCCGTATCCTATTATTCAGTGACATTCCCATCAGGAAATAATATGTTGCAGCCATATTCATAATTGATGAACATATGACACAAAACCTTTCAAATGATCAACACAAATTGTAAACAGGTACAGCACAAAACATTTGATTTTTTCTTGAGTGTTCATCAATCATGAATATGCCTGTACCTACAACTATAAATGTTTGATTTAAAACTCCCGCAGTTAGAACCTGTTCCTAGCTTTACCCGTCTTATGTGTGCATTGCAACTATTGGTTTGTGCACCATTAATTGAGTTACAGATGTGCAGTGCGGATTTCATCTGACAATCTGCAGATGAGACTCAAGTACCTCATTAGGGCATCTTGAGTAGAGGTTTTCTGGTGATTTTCAAACAGTGTCCAAGTGTAAAACAAACATTTATCTGAGAGCAAAATCAGAAATTGAGCTTTGACTCTCTTGATACCAGAGCAAAGGGATCTGTTAGTTCTGTTTGTTTTCAGCACAGGGCCCTTTCTCACACCTCAACATGAGAGGTTTTGAGGCTGAAATGGCCGTGTCTGCCGTCCGAGTGGGACATAAGTATGGTATTAGACAAGTGTCAGATGCTTGGACCAGCTGTCTTTGATCCCTTATCCTTATTATTTTCAACTGCTCGGCACCCTATCATTTTCAACTTATTTCACCTTATCAAAGCTTTGATTGAAGGAATTAATTAATATGCCTCGAACATCACGTTGACTCAGAGGCCAAAACCCTTTGTTTGATTCAATCACTTGGAGAAGTAAATGAAAAATACAAATAGGGTCCAAGTGTGAAATGAAAAACAAAAAAATTCAACTTGAGACGCCCTATTGCCGTGGTGTTGGGTATATGGGCAATTACGGGATACAAAGTAGCATCCGGGCAAGTGCCCGGCTTTGTGCCCAGATATTTTTTGGCAGTAAATTTGAATTCTGGGCCCGGACTTTTGCCCAGAAAATCAAAATTTACTGCCAAAATAATTCCGGGCACAAAGCCGGGCACGTGCCCGGATTCTACTTTGTATCCCACAAATGAACCATTTATGTGGTTTGATACCGTGGTGTACCCACCTTTGGTGGTGTGTGATCACTGTCAATTTTCAAAACACCATGTGTTGGTGTGCACGCCCGGCGATTCAAGAACTTTCACATGCTGTGTATCCACCGATCGACATATTGTGGAATGTGCTGCGATGTGGTGTGGCTATTCTCACTGGTATGCTCATAGGACAGGTGTACGCGGAGTGGTGCCGCGTAGCGGCACGCACGAAACGAGGTTTTCTTGAATTACTGGAATCGGATAAAAGTGATGAGAAAAAACTACCGAGACCTATCGTCGACTAACAAAGAAAAGACCCCTATGGGGAGGCCAGAGGCTACACTACTACAATTTGTTTGTACGATACTAACAACTCATGGATAAATGTAAAGAATAAAACCCCTTGCCCTTCACTAACAGCCCTCTGAAAAAAGTCTGAAACACGCTAATCTATTAGTAGAAATGATAAGAGAAGAAAGAATTTTGTTTGATGGTTTTTTGATTTTTCATAAGTGGATTTCTGTATTGGAAAAGATATTAATTAATGTGATACGAAAGGAAACTAAACTGATACTTATTAATTTGGATTATTGTGAGATAAATGTATATATATAATTTTTTTTTTTTTTAATTTTTTTTTTTCGGTGAGGGTGGGTGGGTGACGAAAAAAGAAAGTGGGAAACAAGTACTATCTTCCGTCTGGCGTGTATGTGGGGAACTAATGATGAATTGGGTTTGACTGATCTCTGAAGATTTGTGGATCGTGTACCGGGGAACGTTACTATGTACTGAGAGAGGATGTGGAGAACTCCTACCAACTTCATCTGGAGACGTGTATAGCAGATCCACCTACTCCCAATCATCTTTGTTCGATTGTTTGGGGGATCTTCATCTTGCATGTCGTCCTCTTTCCCAATTAGTTCATGTTATACACGTGAAATCCATTCTTGACTATACTACTTCGTTTCCCATATCTGACCCCCATCTTGCTGACTCCACTCAGTTAATCGAACACCAACTACGATGATAGTAGTCACGTGACTAGCACGACTGCGGCACAGACTATCTCACATTGTGCTCAACAAAACCCACGAGGTTCCACACATCTGTGGAACTCACTTTGTTTATTCTCAATACATATGGCATCATGATAAGTAGATCCTTGCTGGCAGTTCCTGAAGTTGCTGAGCAGTGACATCAACAATAATGGCGTGAAGAACCGCTATACTACATAGCAAACCATTGAAGGAATAATTGCTCACCCTGATAGCGTCGACATGTTCGTCAAACACGATGAAACTTAGCGGCGTCACGGTTCCCCCACTGGCACCGTTTCTTAAATGCTTGTCAGCGGGTGAGCCCCCAAGACTGCCCTAATCGTAGCCAATGTTCAGCGTTAGACAGCACATTCGATTCATTGGAGGAGACAGACTGATGTGTTTTTACGCTTATTTACGCGGCCATCATATGTCGCATCCGCTCGGTCGGGTTATCTTGTTTGTATGCCAACAACACGCTCAGATGTCTATTGCGACGTTTAGGTACATCACATCGCTAAGAGCACCCACTATGGTTGCGGTAACGAGGTGATTTATCGTAACTTTACCGCTAAATTGCACACAGGTCCACTATGGGCCTGTTTTACACTTGCGGTCCCTACGACTGCGTCAAATTTTGCATCACGCTTGTTCAAATCTACGAAAGCTTAAAACTTGATTTATCGTAGGATTTGACGCATCCAATCGGTCAACTGCCATCCGATGATTCATCTGCATCCATCCAGCTTTGCACACCGGTCCCTACGACTGCATCAAATTTTGCATCACGCTTGTTCAAATCTACGAAAGCTTAAAACTTGATTTATCGTAGGATTTGACGCATCCAATCGGTCAACTGCCATCCGATGATTCATCTGCATCCATCCAGCTTTGCACACCGGTCCCTACGACTGCATCAAATTTTGCATCACGCTTGTTCAAATCTACGAAAGCTTAAAACTTGATTTATCGTAGGATTTGACGCATCCAATCGGTAAACTGCCATCCGATGATTCATCTGCATCCATCCAGCTTTGCACACCTTCAATCCTCTTTGTCCCCTCAAGATCCCGGCTTGATAAGATTAGCTGTTTACTCTGAACTTGCTGAAAAAGTTTTTTTTTTGAAAAAAAAAGTGATCTCGCGGGATCAATTTCACCGAGATCAAACAAGAGATGAGAAAGCTTGTTGGCTAGTTTCTTGTCAACAACTGAAGACTTCACTTTGGTTCTTTCTAGTCACCAAGGTGGTCATCAGCATAGAAGTGAGCTGGGTGAGGTGCAGTAAGATAGTATAAGTCAGTTCATGATTTTGCCATAGAGTGTAGAGTGTCTTAAGAATGCGTTATCGTTGGTAAATCACTCGTTACATCAATCCGTAGTGGATTTCATGCGTTTACCAACTTAGCTAAAACACGAAGAAGGGCTTTTACAGCCCTTTTTTATATTTTACATCTTGTTCGGGGTCTGTAAATTTTAAGTAAAATTTTAAGGTCGTGAACCACCTTTAGAGGTGGTTCACGGTTTGGCGATCTCGTAATCGGCCTTTAAAATTTTTAAATTCTGTCCCTGAATTTCCAAAAGACAGGGACAATTGAGCCGAAAAAAAGAATTACTTACATTCTTTCTTTTTTTTGTTCCTGGATTCTGACAATTTTTGGTCAAGAAAGGACCTTGTTTTCTCGTATTTTTTTTTTCTCGATGGCTTCCTCTTTCATTAACAAAAATTCTGTACAAAAACACAAGAAAACAAAAAAGAAAACAAAGCCAAAAAAAGAACGGTTGGGACTGTGTTCCTGAATTTACAAAGCTGTAAAACGTAAGTTTACAGCATTCGCCGCTTTGCGATCAAGCTTTTTAAGGATTGAGCAACCTTAAAAAGACTGATCGCGACTCGGCGACCACGTTGCTCGCGGTTCTCTTCTTGAACCGCCCTAATTTTGCGCTCAGGAACGCAAAATTTACGATAAATCACCCTCATGATAGTGGGTACTCTAAGGGATATTATGCGGATGTCTGGAAAGTCTCTTCCTCGGATCGGGGATCATCCCGAGAACGATATTTCAGAAACAGATTCGATATTCCGCTTTTCGCCTCGCTTTTGCCTCCAAGCAGCTCCAAGCTCGACATGATAGCGTCACGATATTCCGTGACGAAAACGTTACATCGAACAGAATGCGCATCGTTGCCTGTTGTCTAACATCAGACATTTAGGATAAAATCACTTGTTCTCGAATCCTCTTGACCAATTGGGTCTACTCTAGCTTCAATTTCAGTTACTCATTCATGTCTTCCAACGATAAACTTTTGGTTAATACCAACTTTGGGCCGGTGGTAGGGTTTCAAGATACTCATCCACTCAGTGATCGATCGACAGCCTCCAGTGTAGCAAGTGGTCAAATCGGAGATCAACTCCCGATCAACAAGTGGCTTGTTCGTTCAGCTTCTTAGATTCGCCTCAATTTGCATTCGATTGAATTCTCATGGCCCTTCTATCACTCTCCCATCGAAATCCCTAGGGAATACCTTATGCGCAAGCTGCAAGATGGACACGTCCCACGCCTCCTAATTCCTGGCAAGAACCTCTTCTGTGCCACGAGTTCGGGTGAGTCATCTTGCTCGAAGTTCGAGTCATCTTGAAAAGAATCTCACGCATTTTTGGGTTTAGCCCACACTTTCCACAACTACGGTTTCCACAAGAACCACTCTCACAACAACCAGTTTCCGTTGAAGTGATTTATTTGGGAAAGCCAGGACTTCACCCCCGAGCTTGGCGAGAGCAATCAGAAGAGAAAGGTCACAACTTGAATGTCTTCCTCCCTGATGAAGTTCAGACAGGCGATAAAGTTCCCGTAATGGTAGGTGGTCCAAATTACTCATTGCTATCATGATATGAAACTCAATGGTTTATCAAACATATTTATTCACCAATCTTGAATCTGGTTTTACTATAGGTTTGGATTTAGTAAGTAATGAACACAGTCGGACAAGCCCAATCAATGTTTATATCCAAAGTGTTGACTTGTCACATCAAATCAAAACTGTATTCAATTTTCAGTGGAGGTGCTCTTTTGAACGGGAGTGCCTGCGTATCGATGTACGACCCCACCGAATGGATTCGCAGAGAAGCTGCCGAAGGACGAAAGTTTATCGTCGTGACGGGTAATTATCGAGTGAACCTGTTCGGTTTTCTGTCTTCTTCAGAATTGGCGGCCCAGGACGAGGATGGATTATCAGGAAATTACGGTGAGTTGTATAGAACCGGAAACAATACACTGTCCTAGGCTAATAGTCTGAATCATTTTGTAGGGGCTTATGACTGTATATCTTATCTTCAGTGGGTGAGATATTGCACGTTTTACCTCATCCCACTGCATGGATCGCATACCAACATCACGTTCGTCACCAGGTCCAAGACAATATTGCGAAATTTGGTGGCGACCCAGACAATGTGACTGCCTTTGGGGAATCAGCAGGTATGCGTAGTCGTATGACCTCGCCATTTGGTGGATTAAAAACTCAACTGATCGGTCATCTATGCATATGTTTTCTTTGAAAAACAGGTGGTGTGGTGGTTTCTAATCTTCTTCTATGCCAGAAGAAACTTTTCAAGAACGCCATCCTTCAATCTGGTACTCCTGGTACAATCGTAAGTTTTATTGAAGTCATACAATCTTCCATTTCATCCCATTTTACCCATTGCTTAGTTTTAGCATTTGCATCACTCTAATGTTCCCCTTGAATCCAACCCAAAGCCTTATGTAGAACCCAAGTTGGCTGACACGTTTTACGAGGAACTATGTGACAAAGCTCTGAAGACCACTCCCCAAGCTGAGCGTCTCGCAGCTCTCCGATCACTCCCAGCTGATGAGCTTCTAAAATACTCTCCTCAAGGCGCTGGCACCGTAGGATTTTCGACTGAACAGTCTAACAAAGGCATTTGGACTTCTGCTTCAGGAAACGACGCTTTGAAAGAAGGCAAATGGAGTCCTTATCTCAAATCAGTGTTGCTGGGTACGACAAAAGACGAGGGAAGTATCTTTGCGATGCTTTTTCAAGGCGTTTCGAAAGACGGATACGACTTAATGTGCGAAAGAATGTATTCAAAAGTACCACGAGCGCATCTCGATAAGCTTTATCCTCCTGTTTTCCCGGATATCAAATCTGGAGAAAGTCCAGACTACGCTTCTAGTGTGGCATGTCAGCTTTTATCCGATCAAATTTTCATCGCACCTACAGAAAACTGTGCCAAAATTTTGAGCTCCACTCCTAATGCTCAAACCGGTGAACGTCTCTCGGTGTATATGTATAAATTAAACGCTACAGTAGACAAGATTGAGGACGGACGAGGCTTAGGTGCATTGTAAGTCAAAGCTACGCCATCTTTGGATTATCTGATGTTGCGCTGAGCACTACAATTAACGACATCTCTGATCTTCATCTTCAGTCATTCGGTCGACGTTCCTTTCATTTTTAATATCAAAGGAGCTTGGTCGGAAGATTCTACCAATGCCAAGACTTCAGCTCTGATGGGCAAGTACTGGTACACCTTTGCTAAATCTGGGTGTCCTGGTCAGTTCTTCTCCATATCTTCGGCGCGTTTTCCTACAGTGTATGCGTGAATATAAGAGCCCAAATTTCATCGACTGACATTGTTGAATTTAAAATAGAATCTACTTGGCCCCAATATGATATTGCTGCACCATTTCGAACGGTCTTTGAAGTCGATGGTGGTACCAGCGTTGAAGATATGGCTGGCAAGTCTGAGCTTGAAAAGGCTCGACACGAGTTCTGGAACCAAATATCATGAGTCTCATTGAAGACCAATCATATGAAAAAATATATGTTCGCAAGGCTATGGCTTGTTAGCCTGAACACATCTTCTCTACGAGTGACAAAGCCGTTAGGATCAACAACGCCCAAGACATGCTTGATTCTTGACTAAAGCCGTGATGAACTCCATTTTAGCCTCTCAAAATATGTATCTCCTCACCCCTAATGTTGAAGTGTGTATCTTATCTTGACTGTATCTCATGTATATCGCATCCGAACTTATTTCGACTGCCAGCCTTGAAATGATTTAGTTCGTTTTGATCCGAATTTTTGATGAAATCACGTTGATTTCAGGTGGCAAGATAAAACGAGGTCATACTGTAGTCAGTAAAGTGGTGATTAGAGGTTTAAAACGTGTTGTATGCCCCTTTTGTGTCGTGTGATTATCCCTTTCTGACAGGTACTGATCAAGAGACCTTCAGACCACCTCTCTGCTCTTTGAAACCCTGCACTACCGATGGGCTCATCTTATGACTGGCGTGTATCCTGGCCACCGTAATTTCAAAGATATTCAGGTGTGGGGTCTTTGTCTGTGAAGAACTCGGATCAGACATCAGTCTCGGATCAGACATCAGTCTTATGTGAGACTGATATATGATGGAAACAATCCACAATCTAGAGAAATGAAGATTGTAAATGAGAGAAAGAGCTAAGATATCCTTTTTATAATAGACATGAGGCGCATGTTTCCTGGTTTTTGTGGTACTCAAACCAACGGTACCACTGTGACTTTAAGTTTGCAGTTCTTCGGTCTACCGGAGATCAGCGCACTGGTTTGGCGTCAGGCGCCGAAGTTTCCTCAAACCCCCATTTCTACAACAGCGATGACACAAATTGGGCGAAAGACCAAACAGCTCTTTGTGAGAGGGTTCATGCATGCAAGTTGAAGGGCCGGATTCGAGTTATGGTGTTGTCTCGGATTGCTTTTGAGAGCTTTGATACAGAACCTTTGGAGTCATCAAATAGTCATCTGATGACGCTCAGAAGTGTGAGTAATTCATCTCACAAGTCATAAATTGCAAAAAGAGTACTTCTAGTCTGTGATTCGATTTGTCAAATATCAGCTTGCTTCTTTACATCCATTTCCCCAATCTTTAGATAATTCACCGATTTGAACAATACCACTTGGGCTTGATAACCTCGTAGAATCTCACATTTAGCTAGTCATCCATGGCTTCAGAAGATGAATTTTTGGTTCATACCAGCTCTGGTCCAGTGGTAGGGTTTCAAGATACTCATCCGCTCAGTGATCGATCGACAGCTTCATGTGTAGCAAATGGTCAATTCGGAGATCAATCCCCGATCAACAAGTGGCTTGTTCGTTCAGCTTCTTATGTTCTCCATAATTCACATTTGATTGACTTCTCCTGGGCCTTCGATCACTCGCACATCGAATATTCAAGGGAATACCTTATGCTCAAGCAGCGAGATGGACACGTCCCACGCCTCCTACTTCCTGGCAAGAACCCCTACTGTGCCATGAGTTCGGGTGAGTCACTGTTTTTATTTGAGTTCCTGTTTCATTGTGAAAAAACTAACCTTCGGACGTTATTTTGGAATTCAGCCCATACTTTCCACAAACGTCAGATCCATTTCTCACAGTCTACTTGGGAAAGCCGGGCTATCATCCCCGAACTTGGCGAGAGCAATCAGAAGAGAAGGGTCATAATCTGAACGTGTTCTTACCTGATGGTGTCCAGCCAGGTGATAACGTTCCCGTGCTGGTAAACCATTCTGGTTCATATCATATCACTCATGATGTCATGAGAGTAGGCTAATAGGCTTATCCACATTATCCACAAAACACGGCTCTGATCCCCTTCTAGGTCTGGATTTAGTACGTAGTGAAAACAAATTTATCAGGCTATCACTGTGCATTGACATGTTACATACCAATTCAGTGGGGGTGCCCTTTTGTATGGAAACTCCAGCGAGTCAATCTACGACCCTACAGAATGGATTCGTCGAGAAGCTGCTGAAGGACGAAAGTTCATCGTAGTAACGGGTAATTATCGAGTGAACATTTTCGGCTTCCTGTCTTCTTCAGAAATGACGGCCCAGGACGAAGACGGATTATCGGGAAACTATGGCGAGTTTGCTTATATGGTGCCCAAAAGGATATAGTGCCCCTAAGCTGATAAACTCGATTCTTTCATAGGTGCTTACGATTGTATAGCTTATCTTCAGTGGGTAAGTCATCTCTCGCTAACACTTTGCGATATGACTTTGTATGTACATCACTCTAACTTCGCGCTTCCCACCAGGTGCAAGACAATATTGCGAAATTTGGCGGCAATCCAGATAATGTGACTGTCTTTGGGGAATCGGCAGGTTTGTACGATACTCACTATTCATATGCATAAAAGACTTGATCAATTGGTGGTTCATGTTATATATATTCTTTTCAAAATCCAGGCGGTGTGATAATCTCAAATCTTCTTCTTTGTCAGAAGAAATTATTCAAGAACGCTATCTTGGAATCCGGCTTCCCTGGTACAATGGTGAGATTTATCTAACACATATTTGCTCTTGTTCTATCTCTTTTGTCATTGTTGCTGAGATTTGACATCCCTGACACTCAAACTTTGTCGTGAAATTTATAACAAAGCTCTATCAAGATTCCAAAGCGGCTGATGAACTCTACGATGATATATGCACCAAAGCTTTGAAGACCGGTTCCCGGGAGGAACGTCTCACAGCTCTCCGATCGGTTCCAGTTGATGAACTTTTAAAATCCGCTCCTCAAAACGTTGGTAGCGCGGGATTTTCAGTTGAGAAGTCTAAGAAAGCCATTTGGACTTCTTCTTCAGTCCATCAGGTTTTGAAAGAGGGCAAATGGAACCCATATGTGAAATCTGTGATGCTAGGAGTCACAGAGGACGAAGGAAGTATATTTGTATTGTTCACGCAAGCCCATCTTCCCGATGGATACGATACCCTGTGTCATCAAATGCTTCCAGGAGTATCTCGAGAGGATCTCGACAAAGTCTACCCACCTTTGTTCCCTAATGGTACTTCAGGCAAAACACCAGACTACACATCGGTTGTGGGATGTCAAGCTTTATCCGATCGACTTTTCAACGCACCTTTGGAGTGTTGTGCTAACATCTGGAGTTCTACTCTGAATTCCCAAAGCCATGAACACCTTTCGATATACATGTATAAATTGAATGCCACAGTACACAAGATTGAAGACGGGCGAGGCTTAGGCGCATTGTAAGTGCGGAAAGCTGAACACCATTCCTTTGACTGACATTGTGCTGTGCGAAATGCAACGCTAAAAACGTTTCTCAAATGCGTTTCCAGTCATTCGGTCGACATTCCTTTTGTTTTTAACATCAAAGACGCGTGGTCGGAAGACTCTTCTAACGCCAAGACGTCAGCACTGATTGGAAAGTACTGGTTTAACTTTGCTAAATCGGGCTGTCCTGGTACGTTAAGCTTTGCCTACTTGACGCGTCCTGCAGATGTAAGCCCAAGAGACTGACGTGATTGGACTTTGAATAGAACCTACTTGGCCACAATATGACTCCGCCGCCCCATTTCGAATGGTTTTTGAGGATGATGGCGGAACTACTGTTGAGGATCTGGCGGGAAAGTCTGAGCTCGAAAAGGGTCGTCAAGAGTTCTGGAGCCAACTCCTTTGATGTCCGTCCACAGGGCAAACTTGAGGAATATTTTTATAGCCATATGAGATAATCCCACCTACGAGAGGGTGTGGCTTTTCAACTTGAATAGGGTTACTTTACTCATAAACGCTTGCAGGCAATTTTTTCTTGAAATGATTCAACGTCCAATAACAATGAAGGGTTGTAAATCCAACTGTCGCCTCTTATTTTCATGTTTGTATCTTGTCTTGATTGTATCTTGTATATATCATATTCCACTCGCTCTCAACTTCAGCTATGAGACGCTCCAGCTTATTGCAAACTTCGATGATGACGTGACATTGTTTTCAAAGGTCCATCATATAACCAATTGCATTGAAGCCATCCGGGAAGATTGGAAGTCTGTTCAATTGGACTGTGTTCCAAGATACATGTTCTCATTTCCGTAGCTGCCCTGAGTTGGGTTATTTCCACAAAGTCGTTCGAGGAGTCCATTGGTTACTAACCCAAAAGTTCCATCTTAGGTCCGGCTCTAGATGTTTTGTAATGTTTTGGCACGAGATTTGATCGTACTGACTGACTTGCGATGAAGACAAATTATATAGGCTTTCCAAGCCGATCATGAATGGGTGTGAGTGTGTGTTGAGTCAGTTAGTACTCAGCCTTTGTTTACAGCGCACTGCCTGTCTCCCGCTTTAGGCTCTTCTGACATGATGATTGATAGAAGCAGAAGCGGTCAACAATCACATTCCATGGTACTTCAAACCCAATCATTCTCTGAAGGGGGTGTTGAAGGGTGTGACTTCCAGACTCGAGGTGAACTTTGAAGTATATTCAGGACTTGGCTTGTGAGTACATATATACGAGATCGGCGCTCTTTTCTCCTAATTCCCTCCGCATATGCCATATATGTATTTATTTATTTCCGACCGAGAGGTGAAACAGTGAAGTCAAATCTGAAGAGTACCTAGCGAAAGAGACTTGAATCCTACAAGGAGTGTCAAAAGATATATAAACGAAGCCTTCATTCAGCATTGAAAGCTTCCTAGTACCCTTCTGTCTCCTCAACCAAAAACACGATCATCACAATTCTTGATCCATCACGATCCTCAGCATTTATATTCGAACCTCTTGATCTCTAGAAAAGCTTTCCATGGATAATCCAGTTACTCAGGTAAAGTCGCGTCCCCTTTTATCTGCTTACCCGGACAACAGTTTGAAGAACTCTATCGGGAGGTCGATCATGAATGGATCTTATTCGAAGCTGATCACATCATGTTTCTGTTAGATTGAAGATGTCGTTCGATCAATCACTGAGCCCTACAGTGCAAGGGTGATTGCCGATAACATTGAAAAGTGAATTTCCAACCCAAACTCAAGACTCTTGAACTGACATTATTATGAATAAGATCTGATCACAAGAACTATCTCTTTATAATCCTATCTCAGATACTTTACTCGTGATGCCCAACTCATTCATCCAACTATAAATCAACCCTATAGTAAAGAGAACGGAAGAGAAGATTTGAAAGGGATTTATAAGATCTTGTAAGGATACATACGATCAATCTTTCATCAAAATCGAATGATTAGATACTGTCACTGATCATCGTGGGTTTTTTTGTGGATATTCTTGTTATGTGTTTGATATTTTTCGAATCAGTCGAACACAGACTATTGATAACAAGATCGTATTTCATGCGGTGATGTTCAATCATGACAAAACTGAATGTGCTATCGGTGAGTTTCCGCCACCGATTTCGAAATCTGATTATAAATGAGATCAAATGATAGGATTTATGCATCAAACTAATCACTTCTTTTCAATTCAAAAACAAAACTTGGATTGTAAATAGACTTGACAGAACATGTTACCGCTCGAAGTCCAATCATTCGATGCTTCTCTAAAGGTGGAACAGTAAGACTAATCGTCAAGATTTCAATGAAGAAATGTGAAGATGGAAAATACAGAATCTATCGGTCAGTGCGAAACATTCCAAGAACCTATAAAGAATTCAAAACTGATGATCTATAATTATAATTTATGAATTATGTAGTCAAGAAGATAATGCACCTACTGATCTTACAAGAGGTGGTTGGCCAATCGCTTCTATTCCTGGACTTTCACTCATCAATGATCTTGTAAAAGGTACAGCTGGTTTTATGATTGCTAAGTTAGGTATGTTTCTTTTAGATAGAGGTTGGTTTGATGTTTGAAAATGAGTTATTCAGAACAAAAAGGCCGGAGGATTTCTATTTAATAAAAGTTATCACATCCAAATTTTTGATCATACTCTTTGTAAAAATTGGTGATTTGGAACCTTTTTGGTTGTTTTTACTTGTTTTCTTTTTCTTGAAAACCTTTTTGGAAAGAAATCAGTTTATGTTTTTCAGTTATATCCTTTAACACACTCTTCATTATTCTTTACTGAACCAAGATGAGGCAGGAGTTTATGGCATGTACCGTTCAATTCTTTGTAATTATTGTAAACACATATTTGGAAATGTGATTTCATTTTCTTTGGAAATGTGATTTCATTTTCAGAACGTTCCTTCTTAGTACTAGTGGCCAGCTTTCCGCTACAAAATACATTGCTCTTTGAACCTGTGCAGTGATCACACACCTAACTTGGTATAAGTCCCTCGGAGTCGGAGCTTGCGGACTAAGTCCCACCCCGCTGTACTCCGCTGTTGGGCTTTAATGTTAAGCTAGAGCGCAACTGTCAAAGTTTTGTTCATTGGAAAATTGACAGACAATCTTGAACCATAGTGAGTGACACTCTTCTACAAAGCAATTAAAATCGTGATATTTGTACAAGATTGATGTGTAGAATCGTTTCTAGAATGCCTCTACATCTCAGCCCATGTATGAGGTATTCTGGAACCAGGATCCTATGGAATTTAAACCATTATTCTTAGAAGGAGTGATGATATATTGTCTCTTATCAGTTTAACACTCAGCTCAGCATCTCATGGGTCGGCTTGGTATGCTTGGAGTTACATTGGTTTATGAACCAGACTTACCTGAGAAATCTCTTTTCATGTCCTAAAGATGTAGGTCTCGTGGCACATTTCGATTAACAACTTTTCCCCTACGTATTCTTGTCTCTGTGGTATATCTTTATGAAGTTGGACTTTAATCAAAACTAGCACGCAAACTGAAGCAATTATAATAATTGCACAAGGAACCTGATGCTCAAGTAAAATGTTAGCTTTACCTGGTCCTTACCATAAAGAAAAGTCTTGATGTTTGAATCTATCATACACATTCCGCTCTGCAAAAAAAAACTCGCTTCACAGCCTTCACAAGTTCCCATGCAGTGCATCATCAATCATGTGCAACAACCGACCCCGGATTTTGGTTGACCCCCGATTCGTTTCAAGGAGTCATTGAAGCTACACTGCGGTTCAAAAGATTCGTAATCTTTATGTGATTTCACCATCCTGTTCCAATGATGTTGTTTTCATATGTTGATGACATGCCCAGTAAAAACATGATGTAAACATATGTGGTTGCGTTGCGAACTTGTTATTCTGATCTTTGTTCAACACTCATCCTACATAATCGTGATGTAATCAGCAGGCATGCTGAAGGTATCAACAATAAAAGTCACACATACTTACGACATATCGCTGATATAATCTTCTTGGTTACATTTATGAAATGCAATACACACATCGTCCAAACATGGATTCTGGAACATGAATCCAACCCAGATCTTGATCGGTTTGATTTTGATTCAATTTTAATTGTCATTTTATTGTATTGGTATTGGTATCTCGATTTTGATTTCTGATTTCCTCTGTTGGCATCATTTGGTTTCCTTTTGGTCACAATACTTTGCTTACTGGGGCAACACAGTGACATGAGACGCTGGATACGTTCCGGATGTACCGTACAAATAAGAAAAACAACAATGTTTGTTCAACAAAAAGACTTTTAATGTAAAGAAGTAATTGTAGGTAGCCATAGAAGAAAATCCCAATGATATATAACAAAAGAAAAGGAAATGATGAGCCAATCCCCATTCAGTCAATATCTATCAGTACGGTACATCTTCTTGCCACTAGTTTTTGCCAGGGAGAAATATATTATTGTTTGGGGGTTGGACTTTGAGAAACTTGAGGATGAACTGAGAGGCCGATTGAGAGCAACAAAATTCAATGCAAAGGATATCCAGTCAATCCTTTGGGTTCCATACAAGGACATCCAATGAGCAGAAAAAATCACCATGGACTAGTGATGACCAGGAGAGATCAAAATGGGTCAGCAACTCTAGAATAACGGCTGGACAGACAGATACAAAGCGAGATGAAGGCATAAAGCAGCTATACTTCACTTACCAAGAATATCATATCACGATCGGTATGCAAGGTCGACAGATGTTCATCGGACCGACAATCTTCGCGGCGGTGAAATTGAGTTACCTGAAGTCACGCAAAAGCAGAAACAATCAGTTCATCTAGTACATGTTGCACAGAAAGATGTGTCGTACTATACCCACCAAGCCTTTCAAGTTGGGAACTGATTGGTCTTTGGTTGTATGGCCTAACTCAGGTCCGTATCAATAAGAAGAGTGAGATATGAGGTCGCGCGAAGGTGGAAGGCGGGGGTCATTGATCAAAACCGAATCAAATCCAAGCAGCCACCGAGACTGATGAACGAAATTGGATAAGAAGGGAAACGAGGGAATGGATATGATAGTAGTATAGAGAAAAGAAAGTAAAACAAAGAAGAGATAATAAAAAAACAAGTCAAAGAGCGGAACAATGTGAAAAGTGATCTGAGACTTGTTGTCAAAAGGGAAATGACTTGATTTGAGTGAAGGTTTTCATGACTTGGTTTTCCAAAAGTCGAACCTCGGGTCTCGTGGGCTTGCTTGCGACAGAGCTTTGGTATCAGAAGCTCATGAACAATCTACATCACTGAGCGGTCCAAGATGAAAATTATATGTGAAGTACCTGGTGAAATCATAATGGGCACATTCAGTTTATGTTGTGGTCAATTTATGTTCTGATGAGGTATCAAGATACCTCGAGAATTTGTGTTTTCAAATTATGACCCAAGTACATCAGCTCTACATATATTTTACAAAAATTCAAAATCCACATCACAATTACAAAACAGATTTGTCACTGGTAGGTAAAGTCCCATGTTTCTCAAATGTGATTACTGGGGGTGTTTTGAACACATATTTGCCCTTAAAGTTTGCACCGTAGTGTATGTATGTAAAACGCTTAAAGCCGAACTGATGATCTGTGAGACTGTGAATTGCGTAGTGATGGTGGCTATGGCGCACGCCGTTATTCTACCAGCGCGATCTCGGACAAATGACCATGGAAGCGAAAGGCATTGCAAATGCTTCGCTTCGCACGATAATCCAACATCGGGTATTGTAGATAGCTCGGGTATCTAGATGAGGCTCTCGGGTAATCCCCTCACGTTGTATACACCCGGTGGAAGGGTGTATACGCGAGTACATACATATCAATACACATGAAAGTACTCGTTATGAGTTGAATTACCGCGCTAATGGAGATTCAAAATTACATGCTTAAAGCGAGAGAGTGAACGGGGTAATCAAGCAAAGTGAAATCTACTGGCGAGGGTAAGTGAGAAAAGAACAGGGTAAAGAGGGAGAAATGAATCGGCGTGTAAAATCTAGAATGGAAGGGATTGAAAAGTGGGAATGTTTAACGTTCAAACCACCGCTGCCCGAATCTGACTGGGTGAGAATTGGAAAGACTGTGATATGATGTCAAATTGAGGTTGATGCAAGCATTTGGAAAAGGGATTGTAGCGAGGAGCACCTCACAGAGGCCCGAGTAGATTATGCGACAGCAGTTCAGTGCCTACGAAAAAGGCAATGATGAAGTTGGATTTAGGACGATTGAAATGGGAATGGAGACCAACATTGACCCGTTAGCGAATCTGTTCGTTCGGCCGTTGTCCTTTGTAAAGGCGGAGAGCTTTGTAATACCCGTTGCTTACAATGCGCATGGCGCGTTCTAGACCCTTTTACTAACTAACATGATGAGTGGAGCTCGAGTTTTTTCTGCTAATCGAAGGAAATGTAGATCGGCTGTAGCCAAAAGAATAAGTGAGATCAACGATCGATAAAAAGTTGGAGTAAATCAAATTAATGGCACCAACGCCTTGTAAGAGTGATTGCTAGAAAAAGGAATAGGTTCTACATCATCATTTGCAGAATTGTATGTACCATCTTGAGAAATGGGAGGGAATACTCGGAAAGGTTTATTGGTGAATGGATGGTAAGGTGAAAAACAGACCTACACCATAAACCATCATTGTTGATGGATCGAGCGTCTATTTGAGGGTATAAGATCTGAGAGTGAGATTTTGAAGGATTTTGAATGTAATGACGAGGTAGTAAGTAAGAATCGACGTGATTGGGGCCTACCATTGGAAGCTTGGTTGGTGATTGAGCTAGGAAGTAGTCAGCATAAGTTCTGATGGAGGCTCAGCTCAAGGGGATAAACGGAATTAAGACTCACTGGCATGGTTTGTTTAGTGACTGGGCCAAGGGGTTTCAAATTGTTGATTGCTTTTGATTGTCAAAACTTGTCAATATGAGTTGGTAAGAGTGTTTGTCAACATGATGAATCAAAATCTGAAGACGTCTTCAAGAGACTGGCTTGGGTACTTGCCTACACATGCTTTGAAGGCTACATTGTCGATCAGATTAAGATGATGAGGGAATAGGGAAAGGCGGGCAAGGAGGTTGACAACGAGGTTTGCGAGTTGAAATACCAGCTCCTTGTCCATCGTCCCGTACCTTAACAAAACCCGAAATTGGTGATACGCTGACGGGGGTTCGGAAGGGAATAATTGTGGATAACCATCACGAGCCGCAAGAGCCGCTTGTTGATGGAGTCAGGATCTGGAGCGTGGAATCGGAAATTTCAAGACAATAAAGTGAGTCAGGATAAGACAAATCTTGGTAAGTAATGTGTTGCGAACGGTAAAGTCTGGGTTCAGGTACGGTATATAAGTATCATATCACGAACAGATAAGTCAGCTGTCGTGGCCTCGCCATTGCTGGATATCCGTGGATCATGGGTGGATGATTCACCAATGTCCATCCTGATGCGCGAGCCTGAGCGAGGTTCTGTTGGCTCCGAGCAAAAATATTACTGTAGAGCCGAAATCACCGGCTGACAAATTGTCTTACGGAGCTTGTCTGCTCACATTAAAATTTGTGCCCGTTGTTGCAAAGCATCGAGGGTGGATCAGCTTTATTATGGCAGGAAGGCAAGCAGCCTCACTATTGCAAGCGGCAACGAAGGCAGGGTAGAAGTTCAATTACGCTGGGCAAGAAGTCTGCTCCATCCCTTTGGTATTTGAATGGCATATTGCTCAGTTTGTGATCAATGGAAGTTGAACGTTGGGAGAGCAATGAATCACCAAGTTGCCAGTGGGACTTTGGATATTTGTTGTCTAACATGTGATCAAGCGAAAAGTTATGGATCTGCACCATTTGCAAACGTCAGTGCATGCAAGGCTTAAAGCTGATGGCAAAGCGAGTAGAGTCACAGTGCAGAGCAGTCTATGAAGGCTGTGTTAAACCAGGTAAACTCAATGTTTCAACAAAATCTGCACAGCAGACCTTTTGTACTCGGGTTTCCTGTGGGTCTGTGAATCTTGTGGAAAGATAAATGTGAAGGGTGTCACACAGATTGGAATTTGTCAAGGTACTTGCGGATCCGAAAATTAATACAACGAAAGTGGAATTGCAAAAGATTGCAAAGTCGAATCTCTCTGTGACAATACAGAGATTTCCCATAGTTGTTGCAGATCGCGCTGGTAGAATAACTTCAGGCGGCTATGGCGTCTTTTCTTTTGATCACGGAGACGATGGATCTTGAAACATCATCAACAGTTTGATTCACCAAAAAAAAATCACAGCTTTTAAGGTATGATATTTTTTTTCCTTTAATACAAGATGTGATGGAAAAATCAAACTTATCTAGCTTATTCATCATGTTGAAGTAACACCAAAGAATTGAGGTAAAAAGTGAAAAAAGTGTGTAAGAATATCGATCTATGATCTTAAATCTGTGGATTTGTCTTTGAATGAGACTAACTAATTGTGATTATGTGGACAAGATTAGGTTGGTTAGGTTTGATGATGATGATGATCAGTTCAAGGTCGCTTAGTCATCCATTCAAGTTCTGTGACAAGTTTATAAAAAATACTACACAGCCATGATTATTTTTATCTGCACAGTGAAAAAAAACGCACACATTTTCATCTTTGTCACAGAGCTACGCCACGGGTAGAGGAATCAATCAGATGATACAGTCGGCTGTTAGAGATGTATATTTTAGGATTGAGAAGGTTTTGTGAGACCGAGTGAGATAGACTGAATCAAAGTAGTAGTGCACAGCTTGGCTACATTGGTTTCTTGCTAGGCTACTGAGAGAAAAGTGAGCAGAAAGAGAAAGCTGGTATGAGATGAATTCTATGCTGGGTTTGAGTGATGAGTGATGAGCTGTGAGGATGAGTTTTAGAATGTGAGGATATGATCACGAGACTTTGGTGTAGTGTAAAATGATGTCATAGAGAGTGAGTGTGAGTGAGAGTGAATTGAAGAAAGGGATGAGTTTTGGATTCTTATCAACAAATCAAACTTAATCCAACATCAAATCTGATTTTAATTTTTTAATTTTTTAATTTTAAAATCATCCATCACTTTTCCAATTTCAATTCAGATTAATCCAATCCAATTCTATCGAGTTACTTTTTGAATCGCTTGATTATCTTTCTTTCTTTTATAATCTGATTCACTTTGAGTCCATCATCATCCATCAAGTTGATATGACACCATCCACTACTGAGATCTTACTTCAATCATCTCTAATCCAATCTAATCCATTACCAATCTTCATTGTTGATCATCATCATCTCATTCGATCCACTTCAACTCAAGCTGATCATCTCTTTGGCTTCAAAATAGGTCATCCTCTTACCTCAATCTCTCATCAAGATCATCATGCTCAAATCATTGATGCCTATCAACGTGCTCAAATTCGCTTTCATCATTCAAAAAATCATCTCTCTCGATTACCAATCTCTCAAACTCTTCAACCTACTACTGTCGAAGTCTCTTTGATTCCAATTCAATCTTCATCTCATCTCAATCATCTTCATCATTCAAATTCAAACTCAACTTCAACTTCAAATCAAAATTCACATTCAAACCCACTCCAATCTCATCAGCATCACCATCCCCATAACCATTCATCTAATCTACTTCAAATCATTCAGATAGATGCATTCGAACCTCGACCGGGTCTGCCTGAACTTTGGTACTCCTGTCAGCTCAGAGCACGTGATCCACCCGCTACTTCAGAACGAGATCAATTCATCACTCGAATGTCACATGCAATCTTTGATTCACCTGTCTCTTGGCCAATGCATGCTGTATCTATCGACCGGACAGTTTCAATTGCCAATCCAGCAGCTTGTTCTCTTTTTCAAGCTCTCAATCCACTTGAAGATCACACCGAGACCGTCGGAGGATTTCAGCTCAAACAATGGTCCCTCTTCGATTCTTCCTTTCAAACTGAAGTACCTCTTATTGATTTCCCAGTAGAAAGAGCCATGCGAGGGGAAACCATTTCGAATGAAGAATATGGATGTATCATGCCTGATCAGTCTCGTCGAATCATCAAGATTGGTGCTAAAACGATCAGGACAGATCCTCTTAAACAATACCCGAATCATTCTAGAGAAGACATCCTAGGAGGTCTGATCTATGTACATGATGTGACGGATGAAATCAATCGTCGAAGAGAAGCTGAACGAGAAAAGGAAAGGCTAAGACAAGAGGCCATTGCTTCGGAAGATGCCAATCAATCGAAATCTACCTTTCTCAGTAATATGTCGGTGAGTCATGCTTCTTCTATCTTTGATTCCCCTCTCTTACTTGACTCACTATTATCAACACCATATCAACCAACGCCGATATTTGGATTCTGATTTTAGATTGTTGTTTATCACGAGAGGATACCTTCCTTCTATAGCATGAGATTCGAACTCCCATAGCCAATGTTTTGGGTATCATTGAACTCTTACTGGAAACCGAATTGGATTCACTTCAAAGAGATTATGCAGAAACTATTAAATCTTCTGCTGATGGTCTCTTAGATGTAGTAGGGGATATTTTGGATTTTAGTAAGATTGAATGCGGGAAACTATCATTTGATCCTTCACCTTTCAATTTGAAAGATCTGTTTCATGAACTCGATCGAATCTTTACTCATACTGCTCGAAGCAAGCGAAGTCGATTCCAATCTAATCTCACCATCGATCCTACCATTGGCACTAACCCTGAGATCATCGGGGACAAGGGTCGAGTGAGACAAGTGCTTAGCAATTTGGTATCCAACAGTTTGAAATTCGCTCCAACCGGTCGAATCACACTGGATCTGAGACTCGAAAGATCTCCGCCGGATCGACTGAAATTATCAGCCACAATTAAAGATGATGGGATCGGATTGACACCCGAATCATTACGGATCCTCACGAGTTGGCAACCATTCTCACAAGCTGAAAGTTCGACATCTAGACTTTATGGTGGAAGTGGCTTAGGTCTCTGTATTGTCAAGACTTTGGTAGATGCAATGGATGGGACAGTTTCACTTGAGAGTGAAGGACTTGGTAAAGGATGTAAAGCTAAAGTTGAAATGATGTTACAGTATACTACAAATACGAATCATACCACCCCTAATCATGTTCATTCACCTGATTCATGTAATCCACCTAATTCTAAAAGCATTCCTGAATCTAATCACAGACGTTCATCACAATCAACCAAACGAAGAACAAGATCGGTTCGAAACAAAGACGCTTCAAACCAATCTAGATTAACCAAATCAAGAGATCAATATTGGATTCTCTTAGCCGAAGATAATCCGATCATGGCCAAGATTACGATTGGATTATTGAAAAAGATTGGATTGAGTAAAGTGGATTTAGTCGAGAATGGAAAAGAAGCGGTTGAAAGAATCAAGAATCGGATTAAGATCTATGATTTGGTGATTTTGGATTTGATTATGCCTGTACTTGATGGATTTGAGGCTACTAAAAAGATTAGAGAACTTGAGTTGAAAGGATCTGATCGAGTATCTTTACCTATTATTGCTTTGAGTGTGAGTCGGTTTTTTTGATTTTGTTTTCTTTTGGATTATAAGAGTTGAAGAATTTAAACTCATCTTGGGGTTTTTTGGTTTGGGTTGGGTTCCAATAGGCTTCGGCTACTAGAGGTGATAGGGAAAGGTGTACTGAGGTTCAGATGGATGATTATTTAACTAAGCCTATCAAATCTGATGTATTGGAAGAAAGAGTTTTACATTTGTTCGTTCATCTTTTTTTTTTGATTTGATTTTGATTTGATTTGAAAAAAAAAAACTCATGATCAAGGTGTTTTGGTTTTTTTTTATGGTTGGCTTGGTTTTTTTTAGTCTTGCATTAGGAGAAAAAAGAAGAGGAATCCATCATTCAAGTTCATCTGATCAACCCATCAAGACTCATCCGATCTCTTCATCGAAACAAAACAAAAAGTGAAACCTTCCAATTCAAATCAAAGCTAAGGGAACGAAACCAAATAGTAAGAAAAATGTCTTGTTGTGTTTATCTTTCGATCCCCCGTTTCTCGATTATTCTTTTTATCATTATTCGTAACTTTATGCTCAATCTACCTACCTACCTACCTATATATTCGTTGTATGATTCTTTAAATCTGTATATGTTTAATTTATCGTTTTTTTTTCATAAAGTTGAATAATATATTTATTTTATATTTTATATATATCAAAGTGTTTTTATCTTATTTTTACATTAATTTGAGATGTCTTAATGAACTTTTTTTTTGGTTTGTGAAACAAAAAGACTTGAGGATGTATGAATTTCGTTTACTTTATACTGTGTTTTTTTCTGTCTCTTTGTCTCTTTGAATCTGTTTTTTGTCTCTTTGATTGGTTTGTTTAACTTTTTCTGGTTTTTTTTTGATATATATGAGTTTACCATTTTTTCTGTTTAACAGACTTTCTTTTTCTCTCTCTCTTTGGCTTTCTCCTCTTTCTCTTTGGCTTTCTCTTTTCCTCTTTGGCTTTCTCTTTTGCTTTCTCTTCCGCTTTTGCTTTTTTTTGCTTTGCAAGTTTAGCTCCGATCTGTTTTTGATTTGTTTTTTGATTTGATTTGTATTTGAAAACCCTTTTGCTTTTCCTTTTTCTTTGGTTCCCTGATTCTTAATATTTTCTTTGACTTGTTTTTTTTTTCCAAAATTTAAAGAATCGAACAATTTTTTTTTTCTTAACTTCTTTTCTTCTTTTTTTGAAAATTGTATACTATTTTTTTTTAGTTTGATTATTATATATATATACTAAAGAGAAAAAGATATTTTTTCTTTCTTTTTTTTTGAAAAGAGTGGTTTGAGAAAGTAAGTTGGTGTGGGTTGATTGGTATTGTCTTGCAGAGGTTTGGGGATGAGAGAAAGAGGTTGATGGGGAAAAGATGTGAAAGTTTGGATGTGAGGTGAAGTGAAGTGAAGAATGGTTGAGCTTCATGTGTGGGATTGCTTGCTTGGAAGCTTTGGTTTTAGTAGGTTTCTTGGTTGAAAGTTTAGTGAGGAGCACTTATGATGATCTGTTTGGAATGATTAACCTCAAGAATTAGTTAAACTCAAGAATTAGTGACAAGACCAAGATTGACGGGCATTGGCTTCAATACATAGCCTTAGTTGTAGGTTCATTCTTTAGAGCTTTGATCACTTGATCACATACTCTGCAAATGGACTCATCGGAATAAAGAATAGGGTATTTCAAGGTGACCTAAAATGGTGTAACTTTGATTATAAGTCTTGTGGATTCCATGAGCTATGGAATTCTAGAATTTCAAGGTTCACTTTTGTTTAGGCATACAACGTGATCCTTAGAAGTAGAGCTTTCTAAGAGTTTTTCAAAAACCTTCAAGAGGTATAAAGTAGGATCTTGTTGTATATATGTACAATCTTTTTGGGACTTGGATTTGTTTTGCTTCATGAGTCATAAGGTTATTGCACTGAGTTGGAATTTCAAAACAATTGGATCAAGTAATACTAGTCATTTTATATGTTGGACTGGAGAAACAAATAATCAAGCTTTTTAGCATGTACTTTGAGATAAGATGATATTTGACTTCAAAGGTTATCAATACTGTGAACCAAAAAATATTTTTTTCTCAATGTTCAACATATTACACTAAAATAAATAAATAAAAAACATGAACTTCCTGTTTTTTTTTTCATAAATAAACATGAAGTTTACAAAATCAAAAGTTTAGTAACCTATCCCAATCTATCTATCATTATTGTTTTTCTTTCTTCAAGTTTTAATTTCAATGTTTTGATATTTAAATGTTTTTTTTGTAGGGGGGATAGGGGAAAAAGATGAATTGAATTATTGTAAATTTTTCATCATTTCATTGATCTTTTCTTTTCCAGTTAATTGATGATTTGATTTAATTTCTTTATTAAATTTTTCCATTTGAGATGGTTTTTGATACTTATATTGACCTGGTGGGCTTACACTTTCATTCAAAAAAAAAAGAAAAAAGAAAAAAGAAAAAAAAAAGATTTAGTTTGTTAGGATCAAAGGATTTTTCTTTTGAAATAAGGGATCTTTGAAAGAATTTGGTTACTTACCCAAAACAATTTTTGACTTTTCCAGCTGGATTTGCAGGTGGTGCTGGAGTTTTATCTCCTTGATGCCAAGTTCCAATCTTACCATTAGGTAATTTATCTAAAATCAAAAGAATTTAGCGTCAGTGAATGAAGAAAAAAAAATTCAATCAAGTCAATAAACTTGTGAATTAATGATCAAAAGAATTAGTTTAAGAGAATATTGAAAAAAGAAATCTTCTTACATTTTCCCATTGGAAGTGAAACATCTTCACCATCACATTGATCAAACCCATTGCCTTCATAATTTCCTGGAATATTCCATTGACAACCCATCACATCATCTGATATGAGAGCAAAAGACAAAAAAAAGTCATATAAATAACCAAGATCAAGAAAATCAGAGTGGCCCAAAAAAAAAGATGAAGCCTTACAGATATGTTCACAGTATTCAGATGCTTTGGGTCCATTGAAACATACTCTTATACAAAACTCTTCATCTGAAATAAATTCGGTCCAGTGATCGAATTGATTGTTTTCACCAAACACTAATCCTCCTAATGGATTACCATGACCATCGGCTCTAAAACAAAAAATCAAAGTATTTGAATATTTTCGAGGTGATGAGTACTTGAGATAAATTCAAGAATTGGTTGGACTCGAAGGTTTTCTTACCCTGCTGGATCTGTTGGTATAATTTCAAGAAATAGAGAGTAAGAAAGATTGGACTTGAGAAGGATTTGAAAGAATTGGAGCATGGTGGATCTCTTACCTAATTCACCACCTTCATCTCCTTTAGGAACGTTCACCTTAGTAAACTGATCAAACGAAAAATTCAAAAATCAGTTTAAACGCCGTAGTGTTTTCTTTAAAAAACAGATAATTGATTTACGTCACCAATAGCAGTGATTTGAATGTAATGAGGAGTTCGACTAAGATGATCAAGATGATGTTTTTCAATGAAAAATTCCTTTTTAGTTCATCAATCAGTCTGACTCTAGTAATTATTGAGAAATAACGATTGCAGGAGTTAATTGTCACTTACACATAATGTAAGTTATGAAACGTATCTTTGGGTACTAAACGTGTACCATGTCCATCTTTTGTACAATATGAAACTGAAATCCTTTCGGCATTTCCAACAGGTTGAACAGTTGGAGCTATGTACACAAAGTCATGAAGGTTATATTAGTAAAGGGACGCGAAGTGAGCCTTTTTTCGTGTAGATGAACGTACGAGCAAAGAAACAAAAATCGGTTGCAGATTTAATGAACACATTCCTGAAGCAAAGATCAAAACAATCATCAACTCGAGAAAAGGTGTACTAAAGGGAGTTAATCAAATTCGAAATTCTACTTACTGACATTTACTAAAAGGTGTAGCCGTTTTACCACATTGATTATAACCATATTGACCAACACCAGGATCACTTTGATACGGTAAATTGTTTTGATTAAAACCAGAGAGAACAGCCGAAGTGGTTGGTAAGACCATAAGCGTTAAGAAGTTATTCAAGAAATTAATCATGTTGATCTGATGATGTTGAGAAAGATGTCAATATATTTTTTCTTAGGAAATCGGTCGTTTTGTAAAGAAGTTAATAATTGAGGTTTGAAAAGAAAGTATGTAGGTCAGTTGAATGGTCGAGCTTGAGTTGATATATATGTGTGTAAAAGAGTGAGACGATTAAGTGAATGTAAAGGTTTCGCTTTCAGAAGAAAGTGAATGCTCGGTTGAAGTTGTAGATATTGAAATCCCCAATAGTTGATGATTGATGATTGAGAAAGCCTAAAGGTTGAACTTGAATGGGGTTCAAAGATGATGGTAATCTAAATAAATCTCCTTTTCTATTCCGTTATTTATCAGGAGAGACAGTCTTCAATTCTTCATACAACGACTCATGACATGAGATGAGACGAATTAGGGGAGATGTATACAACTGCACTAAAATATGTACGCAGGAATGTCAAATTTTATGATGCATTCAATCTCCATCCCTTGCGCGGGACCGGAAACGTGAGTTTTAAGGTGACGTTTCTGACAGGAACGTAAATTCGAATGTAGAATTGGGGGGTTCTTCTCATGAGACTTGTATTGACTGAGCAAGACTGAGCAGGAGTCGGCTGCTGCAAGACTGAGCAGTTGATACATCATTTTTGGAACACCAACTGATAATCTATTTTTTGAAGTGGAAAAGTGTGTGGATGACTTCCAATCATCTAACCCATGGTGCTTTAAAGACTGAGGACACATTTTCTCCTTGTCAAATGATAAACTGAGTTCTTCCAACGAAGATTCACAACTTCGGTTTTCTATATATCTACCAATATCTTTTCTCAACCGAAATATCCCAACTTCATCTTTTGATCAACTTCTTGGTCGCATGTTGTCTCTTTAGCCAGACCTCTTCTCTGAGCTTCTTGCCTTTACACATGACTTCAGAAATGACAAAGCTCCTTTTTTGGCATTCGTTGAGCCAAAACTACATTTTTCAGCATAAAACATCAGCATAGCATGATTCTCAGCATTTTTTAGGCTCCTATTGGGTCTGTTTCGATAAGAAGCATTGTTTATACATATTAGAATGGAATCTGTGCATCACCATACTTATCAAGGAATCTTACTGTACGATAGTCGTGGCTTGGTGATCAAAAAATTGATTCAAAGAGCTCAACATGAAAATACTAAAGCTGCATGAACTCCATGCAGAGGATCATAAGGCTTCCATAGGATGAATCATCCATTGTGGTGAGTTCCAGAATTCCATGCATGAAGGACATGATGGCCATCAGTAGGGAAGACCTCACATCTTGGGTTTGCTTTGTACTACTTCGTGCTTTCCTAAGATAGAAAAACCTTGAATTGTCATTCTCAGGCCCACATAACTGACCGGCTGGAAAAATTCCCAAGGGAAGTCACGAAATCATTGGAGGAAGATTCGAGATCATTTATGTTTTTCTTATGAGCAGGCTTGGTGATAAGTACAAACCAAAGGAGCTCGCCATTGCCATCAAGTTGAATTTAATTTTCAGAGACAAATGCTCAAAAAGAGAAAATCTGGCAATATACAAATCTGAACTACATTATAATTCATCACGTTTGAGAAATCGAATTTTGAAAACTGTTGTGAAAGTTTTCTTCAAGAAACCAAAGAGAAAGTCTCATTAAAGCTTATCAGATTCACTGCATACACACAACCAACAATCGGATATCAAGACAAATGCTCAGAAAGGATTACTATGAGATCTTGGGTAAAGCATTTCATCAACTCATCAAATAGTAAATCAAACACAAGAACTAATAATTGGATCGTGTCCTTTTCAATAGATTTACCACATAACGCTAATCGATCACAAATCAGAGCATCATATCATAAACTAGCAAAACAAACTCATCCAGATAAAAAACCATCATCATCAACAACAACAACAACATCAACATCATTTCATATCTTACAAGAAGCCTATGAAACATTAATAGATGAAGAAAAACGAAAACGATATGATGATTCATTAAACAGGAAACCTTTCGATCAGCATCATCATCATGAGCAATATGATGAATTTAATGAATTCGAAACCCATTTTGAACCGAAAAGGAAATCACAAGATTCGGTCATTCAATTCGATTGTACTTTAGAAGATCTTTATAATGGAAAAAAAGTTTCCATCGAAATCGAACGTCAATTAAGTTGTGAAAAATGTCATGGGTAAATTGATCGTTTTTCTTAATCTCGATGTTTGTGTGTTTTTACCATGATCTGATGTCTGGTTTTTTTTGGTTAGGTTTGGTTATAATCGTGATGCTAGACCGAATATGTGTCAAAGATGTAGTGGTCAGGTAAGAAACACGTGATTTGCTTCCTACAAATCCAATCATCGATTTCACTAAAGGATATTCAGTATGTTTTCCGCAATTCACGGTTTAGGGTTTTACTATTCGAGTGATTCCTTTGAATGGAATCTTTGCAAGTAGTCCGATAGTCTGTACGAGTTGTGAAGGTTTAGGTGCCAAGATCAGATCAGAAGATCAGTTGAGTGATTTTTCGAGATCGGTTTGGGTTTCTAGAGTATACAAGTTGATGAAAGGAATTTGTTTAGATGTTCGAGTTGTAATCGAACTGGATTCAAACCAGATAAAGTGAAAGTGGAATTTCGAATCGCAAAAGGAATGCTACCAGATCATCCGATTCGTTTATCTGATCAAGGAGATGCTCAGGTAAGTAAACTGACAAGACCTTCAAAGTTGATCAAGAGTTTTCTTTGCTTTCTATGAATCGTTTTGACCGATTTTCTATTACCTGATTTTAAAGCCTGGTTGTTTACCTGGTGATCTAGTTCTTAAATTAAACGTCTTACCACATCCAACTTTTCAAATGCCAGATCCGACATCAAGTGATTTATTATTACCGATCAGTATCACTTTATCAGAAGCATTATTAGGATTTGATAGATTAGTCTTTTATCATTTAGATGGACAACCGATCCGATTGAAAATCCCATCACCTAATCAAACAGGTCATATGATTATCAAACCTAATGAAATTAAACAAATCAATGGGTTTGGATTACCGCCTAATGGGAATTTGTTTATTAAGTTTTTGATTGATTGGCCTACTAAAGATTGGATTGAAAAACAAGATTTAGAGTTTTTAGAAGTAGCTTTACCTGAGAAGAAAATCGATCTTGGTTCAAGTTTATCATTGGATTTTGAACAAGTTTCGCTTTCGTTTAAAACTTGAAAAACACAAAAAACTACCGTCTTTTGATTACTTATCTTTTTTTGGGGGTTTAAGATAATCATTTGGTACGTATACTTGGAAATAGAGAAGGAATGTCTTGGAGATGAACATCTTGTTTGATCTGTTTATGTTTCTTTTAGTATTTGAATGATGTTGAATTTGTATAAAAAACATCTCATTCTTTTGGAGAATTGGGGTAGATATCTGTTTTTAGGAGTTGTTGTATCAATGCTTTTTTTGTTAGATTTTGTTCAGTAGACCTTATTGATGACTATATATAATATTATCCCCAGATTAAAAAGTATAATGGAATACAATACTCATCTTACATGATCATGAACTCAGCCAGAGTATTTGACTCAGAGGCCAACATCAAAGGAGTCCTTCATTTTAGGTCTGAGCAAAGTTCACCCAAGGAGCCAATCCAAGGCCATAGCAAAGGCCAAAATTTGCTTTGATGGCATCCTTTGTTTGCACTTTTCCTCAGGAGCATCATCTAAGGACTTCTCAGATGTTTGCCTTCAAGGAAAATATGCTGGAAGTGGAAGGAGAAGATTGGAAAAGTTTAGCAATATGTACCCAGACAATGAATGGTACCCTTGGATTGGCAAACTGATATCCACATAGATTCCTTGGATATATCACTACACAAACTTTATGAAGAAAAATATATGCATCAGGAACGATGATGGCTGCACCTTGATAGCAAGCCAGTGCAGCCTCAGGCCTTGGTGATTGCAGGATATCTCACATCAATGTACAGAGGTTCTGGGTATAAAGATGGTTGGCCCTGCAAAGCTGACATGGAGATGAAGTACTACTGAGGATTAGCCACCCAGAATTTTCTCATGTGAATTAGACAGGATATTGGTCAAACCAATAAAGAGGTTCAAGTTGGGTTGGAAAAACATAAAGATGAATTCATGGATTTGAACACTCAAGGTATCCTTGAATAAAGATATCATTTCAATAAAAGAAAGGTATAGTGTACTGATAAATCAAGAGTTTTGTTGAAAAAAAAGTTGCTGCAGAGATTGTACATTGTAAAGATAAAGAAATGCAAAGTTTGAAGGAAATGTAACTTGAAGGTTTAAGATGGTTCACATTTAATTTTTAGAATGTAAGTAAGATTTGAAGATCATGAGAAGTGTGTGTTTTACAAGACCAAGATCAAGAAAAAGATAAAGATGTATTTATTTATAAACAAGATGGATGTAAATGAAGAATTCATTTTGTCTTTTTCCACCAAAATGATGAGCAGAGAAAAGGTTTTCAATTCAAAACCAACTCAATAATCTTTGATACATCCATGGCTTTGAAGGTGTAGGTTTAGGTTCAACTTCAGGTTCTCCAATAACTTCATGACCTGATTTTGGTTGATCATCATGAATTGAACTAGGATTTGATACTCGATTAACTTTTTGACTTTTAGATTTCTTTAAAACTTTTAATCCTTTTGAACTTTTCCTTAAGAATTGGTTCTTACTATAATTCCTTCTTAGTGAGTTCCTAAGTCTTTTTTGTCTTGCGTCTTTTGAATTGATAGAGGATGGTGATGATGATGAGGATGATGTGGATTGGATTGGTTTACGGATCTTTAAGTAATCCCATTCTCCTTGATCGGCTTCATACACAGGTTCAAAGTTTTCATCTTCATCTTCGTGAGGACTTGAAAGGCATTCTGGGGAATCAATGGTAGGTTCTTCCCTGGGGGAATTACTGTCTGGAATGATTTCAGAAAACTGGGTTTGTGATTTTTTCTTTTCCACAGTTGGACTACTAGATTCAGGATCATTTTCGGTAGGATGAATCAATGCATAAGTATCTTCTAAGCTTAAAGGCTCCGAAGGCACCTCTGGAGAATTGATCACTGGTTGGAAGTGTTCAAATTTAGGAGTAGTCGCATCTGAATCGATCTGATTCTCAGTAGAATGAATAAATGTATCAAAGTTTGGAGAAGTGGTATAGGGATGGAATTCTTTGGATTGGATCATCGATTTGAAATCTTTTGAGCTCATTGAGAAACTTGGTGAAGGTGGTAAGAATTGAATGTTATTGGATCGCATTAACTCATCCCTTTCACTTTCATCTTGATTTAAATCATCATTTCTTGATGATGATGATGATCTATGTTCTAAGAACTGTAAGGCTGGTCCAAGTTCTTCTTCAGATTGAAAGTCTTGTTTAGTTTCTTCACTGAGTGGGGGTTTAATGTTCACAGTCAATTCAGATGAGTGGAAATCTTCATCTTTTGAGTTTTCTTGAACTTTGAACTCTTTGAGATCAGATGGTGACAGCTTTTCCAATTTAGTCGCCTCCTTGTTATGATCAATGTTTTGAATATCTTCATTCTTGAAAACCTTTTCGGTTATTGGTATCTTTTTTGATCGATGTGTTGGTTTCTTCTTTCCAGCTGAAAGATGTTTAAACCAATTCGCCCACATATTCTTGAATAATTTGAACAAATAAAAATCAAGTGTTAAGGCATTCCTAATGGCTTCCCATACTGAAATCTTTCTTTGTTCTAGAGTTTTATTCTCCTTGACTGATCCTACAAGTTTCTCTGGTTCTTTGAATCTTTCATTTAGGTTCATCTCTTCAGGATTCATTTCATCCTCTTTGGGTTGTATATCTTTCTGAGCCTTTTGTTCGGATAATACCACTTTCTCATCCTTGAAGGACTCTTTACCCACTCTTTGAGTTTCTAAAGTTCGAGAGTTTTGGGACAAGCAACTTCTCAAGATCTTGTTCAATCGTTTGATAGGATTACTATGATGTCTGCGCGCCGAATTGAGGTCTTTTTCAATTAAAATCTTGTCTTGTTCCGAGATGAACAAGTTTGAATCTGCGTTTGGATTGATGATTAAAGGTTCATTGAAATCTTCGTTTGTTGTTCTTGTCGTCTTGACTTGGGTCGATAACTTATCATCTCTTCCCATTTCGCGCTAACAAATCATTCATTAGTCTTTATTGAAATCCAAATCAAAGTAATATATGGCAAGTATGATCATTAAACTTACATATCCATTTTCGCCACTTTCTGATTTCATCATAACATCTTGATCAGTTTGATCTCTTGCTAATGTTAAGTGTGATGATGAAAGTGGTTCCAATTCAGTTCTGAAGTTCAATGCGTTCTCATCTACCAATGGTTCACAAATCCTTAGTGAAATCAATCCAATCTCAATCATCACTAATACGAAAACGTTCAAAGTTTTCATAATTATAAATGACTTGAGTTATCTTTTCTTTACTTTTGGTTTTCTAATTAAAAATCCATATATTGTATATATCAAGATTTTTTAAAGAATCGAATGTTGATTTAATTTAAAGTATAATGTTAAGAAAGATTACTTTTAGGATATCCGGAAGAGATATGATATAGAAAAATTTACAAATCTTCTAACTCGCAATAAACTCAGGTCGATGGAAAAGAAGAACATTGATCGCTCTTTAATCGATAAAAGCTTCAACTGCGCTTTGAATACTGCTCTTTACAAGGTTTGATACGTCCGACTTGATAGCTCCACCTTTTTCTGGTGCAAGTCTGGTTTGAAAGGTCTCATGATCAAAGATGTACAGCTATGTTGTATTGCCACTGACTCTGATGATATACTGTGATATCCTACCTGGTGTATCGATGCATTGATCTATTGTATGGATGATTTCCTATATTATTTCTTGTGAGGAAAAAGTAGAATTTACAGAAAAAGGGGAAATTCAGGTAGAGATGTCTTGGCAAATTACCCCACCATCTTTTGATTGTGATCTTGATTTCACATATTGGTGCGCACTGTCTAGCTTAATTGGGCTGAATGTAGAATACAACTTCTTCTATATCTTGTCTTATGAAATGGGCTACGACCAAGCCTTCACAAAATCAACCCTGAAATTGGGCACCGATAATTTAAAGCCTGAAAAAAAAGAAGTAGGATATGAAAAGACAGTTTGGGATGATGAAGAAATGGCAGGAAATGCGCTAATTAATATCTGGACTGTGATAAAGACTGAAATGATAGATGATATGTAGGTAGATTACATGTGAAATCGAGTGATAGATCGGGTCGGGTATTCAAGGGTTTAAATTGAGTTTGAAATTGAATTCACTTTTCATTTCTCATTTCTCATTTCTCATTGACCGTCACCAACAAACCGCTTAAATCATGTCAACTTTCTCATTCAGCGATCGATTCAGACCTTTCATCAATTCATGTTTACCTTGTTTGAGTTCTTCTTCATCAAACTCAACTCATCATCATCAATCATCTTCAATTTACTTTCCTGATTCAGATCATCAACCGCTACTCAATCACAATCATCATCAACAAGAAATCAGTTTACATTCAAATCTTCATCAATTCGATCAAGATCTCGATGATTTCTTTAATCAATCATCAAAACCTTTATCTACTCTACAATCCATCTCATCATGGATCTCATCTCGTCTTTGGTTCAAACATCAAATTCATTCAAATTCAGATTTATATCAATCTCAATCTCATCACAGAAGACCAAGTGAATCGGATGCAAGAGTACTAGGAGATCTTTCATTCTTAGTTTCACCTCAACATCGAAAACCTTCTCGAGATCCTATCGATCAACTTCGACCAGTTTATCCTCAAACCACAATGTCTCTCACTACGCCTACTGACGATCAATTACGTCAAGAAGAAGAAGCTTTAGCAGCTATTGAAGAAGAAGAGTATCGATTGGCTCGTAAGCGTGCCAAGAAGAAAGCTAAAGCACTCGGATTACTTTCTCATTCTAATTCATCTCAATATTCATCTAGTCAAGGATCAAGCCAACTACGTTCTTCTAAACCAGATCGATCAAAAACTCAATCTCGTTTACGTCCTCATTCACCCAACACTCGGTCTAGTCAATCCTCTAGATCTTCTGATTTCTCAGACTGTGATCTCTTTAGTAATCCTACCATCATCAGTACCAATACCGATGCTTCTGTACCCAACACACTTACTCCTGAGATCATCGAATCGATTCGTAATACATTTGGAGCCGATGCAGAAGAGTTGTATGGTCAACAACTAACATTGGTTCAAATCGAACAAATCTATCATCATCTTGAATCGAAACGGAATCTTGAGGTCTTTCAATCTGCTCAACCTCAATCTAATGCTTTGGAAAAGAAATCTCGTTCAAAGAGTCATCGAGGACGACCTACTTCAAGTCTTAATGGAGATTGTAAGGTTAATGGAAGAGATATGAAATGAATGGAAACACGAAATAAGAGTGAGTAAAGAGATTTTTTATGTATTTGAACTTTTTAGATTGGTAAAACTGACTGATGAATCTATTCAACTTTTCAGATCTTTATAGGAAAAGAGTTGATATCATCGATTTACTTGGTTTCAAGATTTCCTTTGCTTTCAAGCCATTTCATTTTTCATTTTCTTTATGTTTTCATTTTCAATCGTTTTCTTCTTGAATAATCTGTGTAATTCTTTGATATGTTTATTTACCTATTTGGATTTTTACTATAACCCTCAAGTTTCGATTTTGTTTTAATTATTAGTGTCAATTTTGTTTTAATTATTATCGTTTCGAGTTTGTTCTAATGATTTGATTACTTTAAGACCCTATGCATTAAATACAATCAAACATGTATAGTTTTTTCATCAATAGCTTATTTTGAAGTAAATCAACTTGATCATTTTTCATAATTGTTAGTTTGATTTTGATCTTATTACTTCTTTTCGAATATGTACAATTAATTTTTCTTTTGGTCAGTGTTGCTGAGACACGAATAGTCTGGGTGTTGGAATTTCTTGAATGTATTTGCCTTGTGTTGGCATCTTAATGGTACAACAACAGGATCGATTTCAGGAAGCTTGAAAGCTTCCCCGCTCGAAACTCGAGCCAATTGATACACAAGAGAGCTCCAAAGGTTAGAAATTGGCACGGTCACGCTTCGAAGCTTTGTAATATTGACTGTCATTTTGGAAGAGACATAGAGGCAAGGGTTTGATTTTCAAATATACTATGTACAATCGAGCTGGACTTCAGAGACCAGAGAGACATCATAACACAAGTCAAGTAGAGTATCACCATTGATCCTTGTTTTTCCGAAGATCATGCGGATATGTCACATGACAAAGAAATTCATCTGATTCTACCACAGACTCAAAGTCACCTTATTATCTCTTGAACACAATTCAAGTGATTCATCTGGTCACAAAGAAACCTCTCTGGACATCTGATGGAACGTGTAGAAGGTTGATAAGATTGGCATAGGCTCGCTCGCTTGGACGATAGAAAATTAATGCACATAGATCAAAGAGTGGGTTCGAAAAGACATAAGATTGATCGTCATTTCTAAAACACAAGTGCTGCACCCTTTGTCTTCTTATCACCACCAAGTTCAAAGCTTTGAGAGGAAGAGAAAAACCAAAGAAAAGAAGTCAGTGATCCGAAAAAAAAGTCTTGAGTCATGAAATTTAAAAATCACTGACTGTTTGCATCGTTTTAAGGCAAGTTGCATTTTGTATTTGCAAACTGTACATTCTAATCTAAGAACGACCTTTTTGGTAGTCTATATTAAATTTTTATCAAAACATATGAAATCAGTTTGAATTCATTAAGAATCTTAACATCACTTGAATCGTTTTTTCGGTCAAATCTCGTACCTTGGCTTTCTTGTGGAAAACAGGCTTAGTCTGTCCTCCGTAACCGGATTGTTTACGATCATAACGACGTTTACCCTAAGAATCAAGTATAAAAGAAAGTTCATCAGTCTGGTGTAGTTTAGATTGTTAGGTTGATTTCATGATGACTTACCTGTGCACTCAAAGATGCCTTACCTTAATTCAAATATACAAAAATTGTCGTTAGCAAGAAGCACAATGATGAATATCACATGATAACCTACCAGTCTATAAAACATTTGAAAAAACGCCAATTCGGTGATTTAGAAGACCATGAAGGTGAAGTCAGTGATTGAAATAACTTCGAATCTAAATTTTATTGGCTTTTTGTTAGAAAGGAGGTAGGCGCGAACCTTGTACTGGGTGACTAAATAAATGAAAAAATAATGATTTAATCAGTCATCTTTTCTTGGTTGTTTGATATTGAATCGGTTCAAGAAATTGAAATTTTCGAGGTAAATAGAAATAAATCATAAACAAAAGTACAATGATGCTAACCCTTATGAGGAGTGTGTTTCTTGCAAGTCTTTCCTTTACAATAGGTACGTCGGGTCTTTGGAATGTTGACTAAAAAGAAAAGATCAAGATGACGAAGGAGCATAAATTAATGTGACATGATTTCTTTGATTGATTGATTGATTGATGGTGGTTTGTTTGATTTTAGCGTACCCATGATGACGAGTCTTGAGGAAGTTCAGTTGGTCCGACCGGTAAGGGCTCGTCGTGTGTCTTGAGGATAACGTTGGGCAAGGGGGCGAGTAGGGAGGCGGATTTGCCAAGGCGCTGAACCGAGTCGTTAACCCTAACACACCATCTATCGACTCAACCGGTTGCTAGGTCTGGAAGTACAGTGATCAGTCCCGCAGTCTCATGGGCTGCGCAGCATTTCGCTGGGGAGTCTGTATACAGGGCGGAAGTCCACTCAGCATCCTTTTTGGGTCACACTGATAACCAAATTTCCAAGCTCAAATCCAAGAAAGAAGCTCCCTCGCAAGGCGAAAGACTCGCATCGATTTAACTTTTGATGAGTCCCTCAATTACCAGGTTGCAATCGTGTCCCGAGAAATCATAAATGTATATACGATACTCAAGAATACTAAATCATTTTCGACTTGAGGATTCACGAAGCTTTCTTTTATACGGTGACCCAGTGACCTTGAGGTTCATGAGTGAAATGGAAACATTTTCTCATCGTATCATATTGGATCCCTTCTCATGATCTGAGTTCTGAGGCGACTACATGAATACTAACTGCTGTGCAGCCTCTCAGGTGGTTACATACTGCCTTTGTTAAACTGGGTTTTTAACTAACTTAACCCAAGTCCGATCGTGCAAAAGCTCACGGTAACCCGAAGCCGAGGCACGAGGGACTTGCACATTAAATAACATCCCTGGTGTGACCAATAGGCCCCAAAAGCCAAATTTGGGTCACATTGGGCTATGATCCATCCCATCCCATTCATTATCACGATGGTCTCATTTCTGAAACTGGCTCGTGTTAGCTCTTGATCTTGTACATAACTTCCATTAGAAAAAAAAAAGAATCGAATTGTGCCATCTCGCAAGAATCCAGATGGGAAACGAGTAACAATTTTGTTCAGAGACATTACAGAGAGTTGATTGAAAGCTCAGATTCAACCGAGGGCATGTCAGAAACTTGCCTCGGTAGCGACCCATGCAGCGATGAAAAGAAACGAGTTCTGAGAAAAGAAACGAATCTCGAGAAAGGAAATCATCTTCAGAAAGAATTTACCGATTTCAACCGTTGATGAAATCCGATCGACTCCTGTTTATATTCTCATATGGATCCATCAAAGTCATCGCCAGCTCGACCTTCGGATGTGTCTGAAAAGCTTTCGTCCGTGACGGGCGATCTACCACCTGTTATCCTTAATAAGGCAATCTCAAGCAAATCAAATCAAGAACTCGCTTCTTATATTGGATTGAAATTCCTGAAGAAGTATAATCAGGACGCTCGAGAATTGCAAAACAAGGCGGTTCTGGCTGCGGCTAGAGAGGAAATCGTATTTTTGATTGCTGGTACTGGATACGGAAAGACACGTATCGCTGAGGTTTTTAGATCGCTATTCAGTGTGAAGTCACTTGGCATTGTACTCATCCTCAACCCACTCGATGCCTTGGGAGACAATCAAGTTTTGGAAAAGAGGAAGGATGGCTTGAAGGCAGTAAATTTAACTGCCTTGAACTTTACTTCGGAGGTGGCACACGATATTGAAAAGGGTGTGTATTCCTTCATCTATCTGGTACGTTGCATTTCTTTGATGCTTCATGATAACCATCACAGTTTTGTACAATATTTTTTAAACTGATTGGTGTTGTATTATGTTGAAAAATCAGAGCCCGGAAATTTTTCTTACGAATCGTACCTGGCTGAGAATCTATAATAGCATCTGGTTTCGGAGACGGCTGATTTTGAAAGTCGTTGATGAAGCCCACATGATCTACGAATGGGGTTTGGTTGAAAGTGGTCAGGCGAAGCATATGAGTGTCGTCAAAAAAGAGCAGGATGGTGGCAAATTTCGACCTTCGTGGGGAAAGCTCTGCTTACAACTTATGGCAACTCGACATGTACCACTCTTGTTAATGTCAGCTACCTGTCCAGCACCACACTTTGATGCCATTATCAATAATCTCAGTATCAAACGCGAAGACATAACAGTTTTGAAAGGCGAGTTGTGTCGGCCGGAAATCCAAATTCTGAGAGTTGGAGTAGCAGCAATGGGATCTCTCGACTTTCTCAACAAACATTTCTCCAAGAGAGTCGACATACCCGACAGCGAGGTTGTCCCAACCCTTGTCTACTCAGGCTCTCGCAACGGCACTATGCATTCTCTCAGAGCAATGAACAGATCTCGAGATACTAAAGGTGACGAGTCCAATCCGGATAGCACCTTTGGTCAACGTTATCATTCTTGTTCGGGAGATCAAACAAAGCTTAATCGTATTCAGGATTATACAGATCGTAAATTTCCGATAATGTCATGTACAAGTGCTCTTGGTCTTGGACAAAATTGGACTCATGCAAGGATTGTTGTTCAGCTCGGCCGAGCTGGTCTTTCTGAAGTTACACAAGTGGTTGGTCGAGTCGGAAGGAACAAGAGGCCTGGGCTTGCTGTGATCTACCTTGAAGAGACTCGAAAAGAAGGTTTAAATTCGATAGATGACTTCAAAGACATGACTTCACAAACAGATGACCAGAGAATGGATGCGTTGAAGGTTTCAAAAGTCTGTGTGAGGATTGCTTTGGTGCTTGCAAACACGTAGGTTGATACTCTAGCTTTTTCATCTTTGGTCAATCCTAAATCTCACTTTGGTTGTTGTGTACATAGAACAGGATTTATTCCAATGTATCCCGATCATGATTCTGTTCGAAATGAAGCTCAGCGTCAAAAAGATCAAGGCTTTCCACCTTGTCACTGCGAAATTTGTGAGCCAGAGGAGTGTGAAATCCTAGTCCGGAACCTCCACTTGTTTACATCATCCAACTTCGAAGAGGGTTTAAAAGACCCACGATCACTTGACCCCGATGCCGACTATAGTCCAGCTGGGATGAAAGCAGCAGAGAAAAGTGGTACTATTGTAAACAAGCGAAAGAAAGTCAATCAATCTAGAGAGACTGAAGACATCGACTTCCTTGACCTGATACACGAGCTAACGCAAGTGTTCTCAGATCACTTTGGATCGATCTACAAGGATCAGGCTCCGTTTCCGCCGTCTGTCCTTTTTGGAGAAATTCATCTTAACAAAATAATTGATCACATTGAATCAATCAATACTGAAGAGGACTTAAGTGAAGTTATCGGTGGTGATGCTTTGTTGGGAAGCATAAAACACCTACTTAAAACAATCTTGGATTGGAAATCCGACTTTTGTGGCGAGCAACACTACAAACGAATCAAAGAGGAGAAACAGATTTCTGACCTCAACAATCAAATTACAATTGAAAGGCTAGAAAAACAAGATGCTGATCGGAAAATGAAGCAACTGGAAAATTCCTCGGATCAAAAAAAGAAAGCCGATGAGAAAGCGCGAAAATCACAGGAGAAGATTGATGAGAGGAGAAGAAAGCATGAACAAGCGGAATCAAAGAGGCATAAGCGCGCCCAAGATGATATTGAAAAAGAAAAAGTCAAATTTCGGAATCAGAGGATGATGCAATGGCTACGAGAAGGTGTTCAAGAAAATGATCTTGATGCAAAAGAGCTGGAGTATCAAAGGTGAGACTTGCCTGTTTATTCTCCTGCCTCCCAATCACGCAGCTCAGGATCAATTTGAAACTCGTATGGATCTGACTCTTCTTCCACATTTGATGTGACTTCGGAATTGTAGATCCCTCGAAAGGGCCAATGAAATCAGTCATTTGTCCCGCTCAGAGAATCTTGAGACAGTTTGACTGTTCCGAGGAGATAGATATCAGGAATCAGACCACTTCTTATTGTTGATCCGGCTTTACAGCTAATTAAGTTGTTATCTCGAGCAAAGCCAACAAAGTTCTGAACTGTATTGAGTGTGAGCAATGTCTTTGATGACTGGTATGTGTCATTTAACCCTGAGCGCCCCTTGAGTGTATGAAGGAGCTTCCGGAGCTGAAAAGCAGATGAGTCAGGATCATCAAATCAGACCATGATATAGCTCACAAATTACTCACATGGGGTACACATATTGAAAATGTATCCCTCAAGCGAGAAATTTCTGTCCCACTCCCCTATGTGAATTCAAAACCACTATATAGATCAACATCCACTTTAATAGTATATCAAAGAGAATAACTCACCGATCTATTGTAGAAATACTTTATCCAATAGTTTTGAACTTCAAGGAAAAAATCCTTGGCCACAAAGTGATTTTGTCGTCCGCTTGGAGCAATTAACATTGAATGTAAAATGACATGAGCCATTGGCTGTGGGAGTGTTTTGGTTAAGAGAACAACCACTCGTGGAAGATAGGTTGAGTAATGAGTGAGACCATTCATTCCTTGAATCATCACACTCCATCTCTTCCACATAAGCATGAGACGGCCGATATCTCCCGCAGACATTGCTCGCTTTGCTTCGACAACAGTCGCAAAGTCTCGTAACCTCAGCAAAAGCTGGCATTTACGCTGGTCTTGATCCTTTTGGGCTGCAGGAAGCGCTGATGTTGAAAAGATGATTTCAAATGTTTTATCAATAACTTTGTCAAATTCAACAGCATTTGTATCAAACCTTTCTTCAAGATCTAGTTCAGTCTTGCCAAGGATTTCACTGTGTATTTTCAAAGGTGTCAGTTTCAAATCGTTTTGTTCTACCAAAAAAAAAAATCTTTACAGAAGTGCATAGGTTATTGTGGCTTCATGAATTTTCTCGATCCATCGAAGCATTGATGTGAAATCTTTCTTTGCTGTTGGAGGTGCTTTTTTTCCTGAAAGGGCAACAACAGTCTGCCATGCGCCAAAATCATTCATGTCGGATGGGTCTCCCCAATGATGGAGAAGAATGGCTTGAGCAATATTCCAAATTGTATGTCCAGCACCTGGAAGAAGTAAGATATTCTCTAAATTCTCATCTGCGATCTTTGTTGCTTCACGCTGATTTCGTAGTCCATCAAAGTTGAGGCAAGTACCAAGATCACCCTCCAAAATGTGAGTTCGGTTTGAAAATTCTTCTTTGGTCA